CCTAGATTAACTTCAGGGGGCCAAATTCTGTTCCAACTCCCTCGGCCCAATAACTACATTTTGCAGCATGATTGAAATCACTGGTGGAGAGGTCAGTAAATGCTGGTTACAAATTTATTGAAATGGATAGCAGGTCTACTGGGCAGAAGATGCATCATTTGCTTCCTAACTTGGGAGGAATGATTAATCCAAACTTGGAAAAATGACTTGGGTTAATGGATAAGACCTTGCATAGTTATAATTGTTGCTTTTTTTTTGGTCATGTCAGGAGCGACTTGAGAAATTGCAAGTCGCTTCTGGTGTGAGAGAATTGGCCATCTGCAAGGACGTTGCCCACACCCAGATGATTTGATGTTTTATCATTCTTGTGGGAGGCTTCTCTCATGTCCCCGCATGAGGAGCTGGAGCTTATAGAGGGAGCTCATCCGCCTCTCCCTGGATTCGAACCTGCAACCTGTCGGTCTTCAGACCTGCCGGCATGGGTTTAACCCACTGCGCCACCGGGGGCTCTATAATTGTTGCTGATGCTGTTTTATACAGGTTTATATATCTGGTATTGTCCAAATATGCATTTTCTAATGCTATGTATTTGTCTTTGCTATGTCTTTGGTAGCTTTATTGATAGCTTTGTATGAATATAAAGCATATACCTTTAATAGAATTTTGTAGCTTATGGGTTGGATTTTCCTTTCACCCAAAACCTGCTGAGGCTGGAACTCCCATCAGCCCTAGATCTGCCTGGCTGCAAATCTCATTTGCTCCAGATCTGATGAGGTGGAACTCCCATCAGTCCCTGGTCTTACCTGGGGCTGAGTTGGAACTGATTGAGTTGGAACTGGCAATGACACAGCCCTCCAGGTATAGATGGACTCCAACTCCCATCAGCTTCTATGAGGTCTCCCCTCCAAACCTCACCAGTATTTTAATTTGAATCATGATAGGTATGTGTATCAAGTTTGGTCCAGATACATCAAACCCTGTTGGAGCCTTTGTGGGTCAAACATACAGAAATAAATACACAGATGTGTGTGGAGTTTTATATATAAAGATTTGCTGATTGTGTTAACTGTAATCAAGTAAAAAAAACTTTCACAAAGACTTTTGCAACTTTTCCCACCTTGTTTTTGCACAACAATTATATTTTTTGTGCTAAGAAAAAAAGACAGTGGTTAGCATTTTGTTCTGCTCTTACAGATTTGTAGTCTTAAGGTATTGGGACCTTATTATATTACTGTCCAAAGAGCAGGTGATACCAGGGGGATTCACCAGGCAGTGTGGCAAATCCAGCAGGCAGCGGGGGGGGGGGGGACGTTGCTCCATGCCTCACATGGTCCCCTTATCCATCCCATGAGAGGAAGCATTGCTGCCCAGTGTCAGCCCTGTACTCACGCTATTCTTTCCTATGGGAACATGGGATGCTGCCACGATGCTGGAAGCATGGAGCCCCACCAAAAGTAGCCATACATTGTCTGATGATCTCTGGCAGCCTCCATTGTCCCAGCGTCATGTAAGTGCCCTAGGACTAAAATTGTCTAATGTGAGGAGGTTCTTATCCATTATCATTATACTAAGACCTCATTGCTTGATGTGGCTGCTGACTGTTAAGGTCAACTTGATGAGTCAGACCAGAGATAATACTTAGCTGTGAATATGTAACTAGTAGGCCTGGGTAACAACGGAAAAATTTGTTTCTAATATTGTTTCGTTTTTAGGGTGCCTCAGCGTTTTGTATTTAAAAATATATCCGAAATTTTCCATAAAAAAAAGTTTGGTATTTACGAAATTTCGTTAATATTTACAAAACGTTTTGTAAAGATGGCGCCCGCGGTTGCGCATGCGCAAAGCATCAACGAAATTTTTTTTCAATATTTTTTCAATATTTTTTTAATTTAATTATTATTTTTTTTAATAATAATAAAAAATATTTGGCAGAAAATGCTTGCCAAAAAGAGCCACAGGGCAAACAGACTGAGCCTCCCCGCTGCTCCCAGCTCCGTCCCACCCTCCTGAGTCCTGCGGGCTCTCTCTCTCTCTCTTTCTCTCTCCACCAAGAGGAGGGAAAGGAGAAGAAAGAAAAGAGGAAGGGAAAGGAGGGAAGGCAGGCACTCACTCTGGCGGGCCCTCAAGCGCTGCCGCCGAGTCGGGCCCGGCTCCTCCGAAGCACACCCACCGCAAAGGTGAGGAAGGAGGGACGGGCCGCCTTCCCGCTGAGGGTCGCTCGCCCTCTCGCTCGCTTGCTCAGCCGGCGCCTTCCCCGCCCTCTCCTCCTCCTCCTCCTCCTCCTCCTCTTTCAGGCTCTGACTGGCTAAGGAGAGGAGAGAGAGGAGAGCTCCCAGCAAGCATCTAGCCATCTTACGTATTTCCGAAATGGACGGAAATACAAAAATATTTGGCGCATGCTGTTTCGATTTTGAAAATACACTTCCGGGTTTGGAAAAAAGTTTGATATCGTTTCGTATATGGGAAATTAACAAAAAAAAAATATACAAAATTAACGAACGAAACCGCCCAGCCCTAGTAACTAGGGATGGATCTAAACTTCAGAATTAATGCAGTTTAATTGCCATGCCTTAATGCTATGGAATTCTGGGATTTGTAGTTTGGTGAGGCACCAACATGGAGCCCCCGATGGCGCAGTAGGTTAAACTCCTGTGCCGGCAGGACTGAAGACCGACAGGTCGCAGGTTCGAATCCGGGGAGAGGCGGATGAGCTCCCTCTATCAGCTCCAGCTCTTCATGCGGGGACATGAGAGAAGCCTCCCACAAGGATGATAAAAACATCAAATCATCCAGGCGTCCCCTGGGCAACGTCCTTGCAGACGGCCAATTCTCTCACACCAGAAGTGACTTGCAGTTTCTCAAGTTGCTCCTGACACGACAAAAAAGACAACAACAACCCAACACACTTTGGCAGAGAAGGCTGAAGACTTTGTAAAACTACAACTCTCATGATTGCATAGCATTGAGCCCTGGCAGGTCAGATGGTGTCAAACTGCATGAATTGTACAGTGTACATGCACCCCATGGAAGTAATATCAGCGACCACATTTAGTGTGAAAAGATTGCAGTAAAACGCACTGCACTAAATATTTTGCACTGAAATTTGTGCAAAATATTGTAAAACAATGTAAAATTTGGGAGACAAATGTTTTTACATAAATTATGAAAAGATATACCAATACTCTAACAAGCATATGCTATAAGAGACAGAACCTTTGAATTGCTTCATCCTTGCAAGCAAGCAATAACAAAATAAGCAAAGACTGACATCTATTACTATTGATATTATTAGGTTATCTTTGAACTTTGTAAATCATTCTGAGCTGTCTGAGTCACTTTGAACACATATCCAAATGTCTTTATTTATCCAAAATGCAAAGAAATAAGTGTGTGTGTATGGTGGGCGGGTGCCTTTTCTAAGTGCAAATAAAAGAAGAATGCAAAAAAATGAGCTGGAAAAACAAATTAAATCAATAAACTATAGTCAGAACAGAAGATGAATAAAATTTATGTTTCTTTACACCTTTCCCCCATAAACCTCATCAGCCTAAATGGCACTTATTTTTATGTTTCTTTACACCTTTCCCCCATAAACCTCATCAGCCTAAATGGCACTTATTTTCAAATAAATGCACAGAGATTGTAAGTGCTCCATTTTTCATATATCCATTGCATATATTTCTTCTAGTTCATTAATTTTTTGAAGTGTTCATAGAGGGTTGTGTGCCATGCTCAAGAAAGGAAGTGGTAATCAGAAATACACATCAATAGATGTCAACTTTCTTAACTTGATACTTATGTTACATAGCTGTTTGTTATTCTATACAGAAGTAGGTCATCATATTCGTTCTGCTTTCTCCGTTGGATTTTGTCTAGAAGAAATGGATCAATAGATAGTTACTCTGTGGGTCTCAGCTCCAAGTAGGTCTCACTTGCATTGCCTCCATAGAATCAGACCACAAGAGTCATCTAGCTATACCCCCTTGTCATGCAGTAATACACAGTTCAAGCACCTCTGGAGATGTCCATCCAACTACTGTTTAACCATCACCAAAGATGGATAGCCCAACACCCTCTAAGGCAGTCTATTCCATTGTTGAACAGCTCCTACAGTAAAAAAAAAATCTTCATATTAGAAATAGTATAACATAACATACTATTTATTGATATTAATTGTTTTGACTTGTTATATATTTATATTAATGTTTTTATTTGTATTTTTTGGTCTCGGTGCTGACTGTAAATTGCCCTGAGTCTCCTGTGGGCTGAGAGGGGCGGTATATTAATATAGTAAATAAATAAATAATAATAATAGTAACAGCTATGATTTGGTTCCCCCCATGGATATCATCATCATCATCTTTATTTATACCCCGCTTTGCTCCCCATGGGAACTCAAGGTGGCTAACACTCTGCATTAGACAAGTTTGAAAACTCCTAGCTAATTGAAAACAGCTGTGAGTAGATAAACAGGTACTGCTTTAGCAGGGAGGTATTTTAATGGCACCATTAAAGAAATACCAGAAATGTTGGTGATTCAATCAAAAGGAGGAAGTGTGTGAATGGGGCTCTTCGGCATGGAGTGACAGCACAAACACACACCCCCACCATCACCCCCTACACTGTAGAATTAATGCTTTTTGATGCCAGTGTATCTGTCATGGCTCAATTATATGGGTTCATGGGAGTTGCTTTTTTTTACAAAATTTAGCCTACTCTTGTAATTTAGCCTACTCTTCCAAAGAGTGCTGGTGACTCACCAAACTACAACTCTCAGGATTCTATACCATTGAGCCATGGCAGTTAAAATAGTGTCAAGCTGTATTAATTCTACAAGGTAGATGCATCCCTGTCTCAAAGGTGCTGTTGATTTCCTCCAAGTTCTCTCTTTCTCGTTTTACTCATAAGACTTGTTTTCACCCTTGACATTATTTCCTTCTTCATTTCCACTAGAAAGTTCATTTTAACCTTAATGTATGTTTGTTTTTTCTTTCTTGCAGATCATCTTCCGAAAAATCAGTGATGTCAAAAAGGAAGAGGAAGAACGCCTGAGGCAGAAGAATGAGGTGACCTTGAGTATTCCTGTGGACCATCCTGTAAGGAAACTCTTCCAGAAATTCAAGCAGCAGAAAGAGATGCGGAACCAAGGCACAACCATCATTGACCCGGAGAGAAATACCCTCCAGGTGGAGACCCGGACCATTCAGAACGGTGCCGCCATCACCGGCACGAGTGTGGTCACTGTGTCTCAGATCACACCCATCCAAACATCCCTGTCCTATGTGAAAACCAGTGAGATCATAAAACAGAATAACCAGGAGGCCCTGGAGCTGAAGCCCAACACCAGCGAGGAACCAAAAGGCCTCAAGGTGACCAGCCCCGTGAGGGTAAAAAATGGGAATGGGAAAGGATGGCTTCGGCTGAAGAACACTATGGTGAGCCAAGAAGAGAAGAAGGAAGAGTGGAATAATGTCACCAAGGCAGAGTCCATGGGGTTGTTGTCTGATGACCCCAAGAGTACTGACTCAGAGAATGGAGGAATTAAAAACCCGTTAAGGAAAACGGACTCGTGTGACAGTGGAATTACTAAAAGTGACCTTCGTTTGGACAAAGCTGGTGAGAACCGCAGCCCTTTGGAACACAGCCCTATTCAAGCGGATGCAAAACACCCCTTTTACCCCATTCCTGAACAGGCCTTACAAACTACCCTCCAGGAGGTCAAACATGAACTCAAGGAAGATATTCAGCTGCTAAGCAGCAGGATGGCTGTCTTGGAGAAGCAAGTGGCTGAGATTTTAAAAATACTGTCTGAAAAAACTCCATCGCAGACTCCTTCTCCAAAATCCCATTTATCTCCTCAGCTACCACCCCAAATACCTTGCCAGGACATTTTTAGTGTCTCAAGGCCAGAGTCACCAGAATCGGAAAAAGATGAGATCCACTTTTAATATACACCTGTTTCTCTTTGTATACTAAAGGTATACTGTGAAATGGGCATGCACACAGAGACATACACAGACACACAGACACGCATATCTAGCATACCTATAGACATGCCTATATATGTGTCTATGTGTGTGTGTGTAAATATAGAATAAATTATATAGAGATATATAAAAACATATATATTTTCACTTGCATTCAGTATGACTTGAACACACAAAAATGGATTTTGATATGTAAATACTGCATGTCCAGCTGGATTCTGGCCTGCCAAAGAAAACAGTTATTAACATAGATATTGCTTGTATAATATGCAGTTGACTGCATGCACACTTTCAATTTATTTATAATCTCTACTATAAAATAAAAGGATGGATTTTGTTTAAAAAAGAGAGAAAAAGAGAGAGTAAAATGTCCTATTTCAAGAGTCAAGGACCAGCCAAGAAGCCTTACATGGAGTGTGTTAGTCTTTCGTGATGACTTGGGGTGGAGTGCATTACAACCTACATTATATAGCTTTATGCATTGTTAGCTGCATGCCAGATGTGCAAAGGGAACACTGTTAATAGGTTGCAAAGATGCATATCAGTAAGAATTCTGCAATATGGATTGGCCCATCTGATGCACTTCAGGCCCCTTCCACACAGCTGTATAGAGTCCACATTATCTGCTTTGGAGTGGATTATATGGCAGTGTAGACTAAGGCTCCTTCCACACCCCTGAATGAAATCCCACTGGAATACATGGCAGTGTGGAAGGGCCCTCAGATAATCCAGTTTAAATCAGATAATGTGGCTTTTCTGCTTTGATAGCCTGGATTAACTAGCAGTGTGGAAGGACCCTCGGATATTTCTGATGCAGTGGACATTTATTCAGTGCACTCGATATTTCTCATGTGCGTTGGGCACTTCTGATGCACAATGGACTATGCATTGCTCACTTCTGATATGGGTTTGGTACTTCTGATGGTCTTTGAATATGTCTGATGAATATTGGGTACTTCTGATGCCTGTTGAGCATTTCCGATATACATTGGGCATTTCTGGCAAACATTAGGCACTCTTCTTATGCCCTGGTACTTCTGAGCCAGTGTCCGGATGCTCACTGCCTAATGCATATTGGAGCCTATTGCACATTGGGACAGCACTGATCATTATATCAATGGCAACCGGTGCACTATGCCTCTGTGTGAATATGGACATCGCTCAGTTCTACTTCCCACACATGTCCATTTACAATTACGTAAATCCCATACCAAATTCCAGTCTGGGTTTTTGTGAAGAAATTCAAGAAAACCCTCCATATTTTGTAGTTCTCCCTTTTTGTTGTATTCCAATGTTACCCAAAATCTAAACTTGGGGGTGGGAATGAAATTATGGAGATCAATCTTTGGATTTGAGAGGGAACTGGACACAAGCTTTGAATTGTTAGACTTTCTGCCTCTATTCCTCCTTCCTGTCAAGGGTTGCCAAGTGAACTTTGAGATAGGACTCTTCTACCCTTAATCCTACTACTAATAATAAAACATTATTTATACCCCGCCACCATCTCCCCAAAGGGACTCAGGGCGGCTTACATGAGGCCAAGCCCAACAATACAGCAATGCAGATATACAACATAAAATACAGCAGTAAAATATAAAGAAATAAAATAAATACAAGAAACAATATAAATAAACACATCAAACAATATAAAATCACAGTAATTGACCACAAAAAAAATGATCACAGTGGGCAGGGCCAGTTGCAGAGATTAAAAGGTTAAAAATATTGGGTGAGAGAGCAGTTTAATGTATCTGGATGGGGGATCCGAGTTACGAAAGTAGGGTTTAATTGCACTAGCAGGTAAGATAAAGTGCTTCCGAGGGCATTTTATGCTGGGTTCATTCATTTATTGAAGACATACTGGAACAACCAAGTTTTCAAGCTCTTCCTGAAGACTGCCAGAGTGGGGGCTTGCCTAATTTCTCTGGGGAGCGAGTTCCAGAGCCAAGGGGCCACCACAGAGAAGGCCCTCTCCCTCCTCCCCACAAGTCACACTTGCAATGGGGGCAGGAGCAAGAGAAGGGCCTCTCTGGAAGATCAAAGAGATCGTGTAGGTTCGTAAAAGGAAATGCGGTCACGAAGGTAGGTGGGTCCTAAACTATTCAGAGCTTTGTAGGTAAGAACCTGCACCTTGAATTGGGACCGGAAAATAAACAGCAGTCAATGGAGCTCCTCAAACAGGGGGTTGATCACTCCATGTAATTCACACCAGTTAGTAGTCTGGCCGCCGCCAGATGGACCAGTTGAAATTTCTGGGCCGTCTTCAAGGGCGGCCCCATGTAGAACGCATTGCAATAGTCTAATCTAGAGGTAACTAAGGCGTGGACCACCATTGCCTTAATGCAGAAGAGATGCATTAGTTTCCCAGTAAAGGGCTCACTTCCCACCACACCCACATTCGCAAAAGAAAAGTCAACCCCCATGACCAAGAAAGTACATACATTCATAATCTGCTCTTGTTTTTCAACATCATCTTTTGAAAAAAGTAACATGGTCATTTTTATGAAGAAGGTAGGATGGGTGCCTTGGCAATACTAGCAGTGTTCTCTGAATAGATGGTGTCATACCTTCCTGCTGTCCAGATTTGGCAGGGACAGTCCTGATTAATCCTGCATCATCCCACTTTTTAGTTGTTTTTAAAATGTCCTAGTTTCCCCTCTCCACTTTTCTCCTTACAGATACTGGGAAGGGCAAGGTTCCTCCCTCTCCTCTCTTCTCCCCACCTCAAATTAAATTGCAGGATCCTTTTGCACAGTGAATTCTGTTTGCAGCTATCAATGTAAACAGAGGACAAAGAGGGAGGAAAGGAGAGAAACTGGGACATTTTAAAAGCAACTGAAAAAGTGGGACTAATCAGAACTGTCCCTGACAAGCTAGGGGCCCTTCCACACAGTCCTATATCTCAGAAAATCCCACATTATCTGAGTGTGGACACAGATAACCCAGTTCAAAGCAGATATTGTGGGATTTTCTGCCTTGATATTCTGGGATATAAGGCTGTGTGAAAGGGCCCCTAGGAGTGGGTTTAGGCAAAATTGCATTGATTAAATAATGGAAAAGGAGATTATAAGTGAAAGCAGAAGAGATCCATCCTTCAAAAGTTGTCATTCTGGCTCCCTCTTTATGATGAGACTTCATGTCATGGGCCAGTACTGAGCAGGCTGCTTGGCTTTTCCCCTCCTGAGAGGGAACACAAAGTGTGCTAGCCTGACATGGATTTGCTAAGGTTCTCTCCTCAAGTTCTAGAAGCTGTCAGCAATTGCCAACAGGGAAAACACTGACCTATGGAAATAATCTGCTCCAGTAAAAAGAAAGGAGACAGGTTCAGTTTTCAGGATGGAGCAAAAACATCCTTATCTCAAGAATTCACTGAATAAGAAAGGAAAAACTCAGGGCAGTCCAGTACCCATTTCCTACCCTCCAACATTTCATAGATGGAAACTGGGACAGACATAGTTTGGTGAAGATGGCAATAGTTAATAGGAAAAACACACAAACTAGCAGTTCGCTAGTCTGAATGTACAGGAAAGGGCAAGGGTCTACTAATCTCCTTCCTGCTGAATTGAGTTTGCAGCAATTGAAGTAGACTGAAAACAAAGGGAGAAAGTAGTAGGAGAGAGAAATTGGGACATTGTAAAAGCAGCTGAAAAAGTAAAACAGATGAGAATTCATCAGGATTGTCCCTGCCAAGTGGAGGCAATTATAGGGCATACCGTTTATGTTTTGTTCTGGTCTCTATCTACATCATGGGCAGGAATGTTGTGGTTCCACCCACAGTGAGTATTTCATACTATAGAAGACCTACTACAGATTGAAAACTGGTGCGAGTTCCTGTTCTATAGAAGAGGGAATTTCAGCTGGTGTTGTTCATCCTGCAACCAAGCATCAAGTAACATCTGTTTTTTTTCCATGTCAGGAGCAACTTGAGAAACTGCAAGTCACTTCTGATGTGAGAGAATTGGCCATCTGCAAGGACGTTGCCCAGGGGATGTCTGAATGTTTTTGATATTTCACCATCTTTATGTCTCATGTCCCCGCATGGGGAGCTGGAGCTGACAGAGGGAGCTCATCCATGCTCTACCCGAATTCGAATCTCTGGTCTGTCAGTCTTCAGTCCTGCTGGTAAAAGGGTTTAACCGATTGTGCCACCGGGAATGATGCCCTCATATTTATGTCTCTTCAAGGCGTTTGCAGATTTATAGTGACTCCATTAATTTTCATGGGGATTTTCTGAGACAAAGGTGATTTTACCAGTTCCTTCCTCTGAAATAAAGCTTACAGCACCTGGAATTGATTAATGGACTCCTATCCAGGTTCTAACCACTGTTGACCCTGCTTAACCACCAAGATCAAATAGGAGTTGATTCCACAAACACCAATGATACATGATCCCGCTCAAATTTTCATTTTTTCATTCCCACAATCAACCCGAACTATACACAGCTAATTATGAAAATGGAAGAATGAGAATTGGACAGGGCTCATGGCAACCCTAACTATACACATAGGACACATCATAGTGGTTTGAACATTGTCAATGACTCTGGAGACCAAGGTTTGAGTCCTTGGAAATCCAGGAACCCTATCTCAAGCCAACCTTTGACTTGCAGCAGTCACAAAAGACACTGTACAATATGTAGAAGCTCTTGGCAACATACCTTTCAGATCCACAATGAAGACATGACAGTCAATTACACAGAAGGGTTTTCATATACTACAGTCTCATCCCTAGGGATGTATTATTTGCTTTATTCCTAAACATAGGAATAAATATTTCCCAAAGTTTTCTCCTTTTTGGGTGAGATGTGCAGAACCTTTGTACATTTGGTGATGATTTTTAACATCTAATATTGATCTTGTGCCTTCAGGAGCAATAAATAGAAGGCTTTTTGCTTTTCCTGTGCCACTCTGGTGCTGACTAGCATGTATTTTCTCAGTGTTGGCACTAAATGTAACTTCACACCTTTTTACGGTGCAGGGGCTGTAACAAAATGAATCTGACCTTGAAAATTATCAGACACCGCAGTGTCAATTACAGTTCAGGTGGCTGAGCGAGAAACCTTCCAGGCTACGAGCCAAGCATCATTTCAAGGAGGACGGATGAAATGTGGACCAGAACTAGATCCTCTTGGCTTGCCCCAGTTCGAGTAGATCTATTTGATCAATCATTGAATGGTTAGGCAACATGAATGTAAATATCTTTGATTAAATGGGTCAAAGTAATAGGATCCAGTCTATGAGGGACTGAATGGACGATCTATCAAAGATGTACTCTCCATCTTTGGAAGTCTTTAAACTATGGTTGGATGAGCATCTTTCATGGGTGCTTTAGATGTATCCTTGCATGATTCTATGATGCTTCCTTAGTCAGTGTC